GGGGAGCGGTTGAGAGTTCAGTAGGAAATGGCTGTTTAATTAGGCAAAAGCGCTGCATGACACGGAGCGGGGAGTTCCCGCCGCTCGGCGCCGCACCGCTGGCTTCAGCACAGCTGGGAAATGTCCGAACTGCTGAAAAATAACTTTCCGTCCTGGTTTTCACAGAGAAATGCGAATTCTTCGCTAGCGTGCGGCTCTCCCGGGGTTGCACAGCTGGTTTCACTTAGATTTGTGTGCGATCAGCCTTCCCGGCATCTTCCTGCTATTTTATCACATGTCAGCGAGTTAGTTTTACCGTATAAGGACTGCGGGCTGCTGCTGGGAGAGGTGGAGCCAGGCTCACCCCAGATTCCCAGTGGCCCCGGCTCCATAACTTCGGAATCTTGCTGAATTAAAATATGACTTAAAAGTGCCCTGTCTAGTGGAAGGAGTTGCTGCCACAGAACAGATGCCAGTTTTGTACGTGATCGATGCCTTGTGTATGAATCGGGAAGTTAAACGCTGCACTGGGTAAAAACAGACGAAAAGTTGGATAATTTATGACTAGAGGAATCCTGGGTCAGCTTCCATTTGGATCAGCCACTGAACTCCTTTCCAAGATGGCTCAGAAGTGAATGGAAACCACTTCCTCCAGCTTAGGAGTGGTCAGTGACCAAATTTGCTAAGCTGCAGCAAAACGCTTTTTTTTTTTTTTCCCCAAAGTATTTTAACATAAAGCATAACACAGTCGCCCCTCCATGGTCTATATTGTGTAAAAGTGTTTGGGGGGAAAAAAAAGTGAATCTTGTATATGGCAATCCTCCTCAGGTTGGGGGACAATGCAGTGCAGAAGCCTGGCAGCTAGTAAAGCAGGGCTCTATTTTCCTTCAAAAGCAAGCAATTAAAAGGAGCTGAATCTTAATAAACACATATTTATGGACACCAGTTTGTCCATGTTGTCTGTATCGAGCATTTCTCCCAGCAATCTCTTCCATTTATTAACTAGTCTATTTTTTGTACATTAATGTGTTCCAGTTACTGTGCAGTTTGTTCAGTAATACACAAACAGATCTTATTACTGAGAAATGCATCCTGCCTAATTCCTTAAGTACCGCAGGAAGCAAAGTTAACTTATTTTAAGAATACATCTAATTTTGTCCCAAAAAAGCCTGACTCTGCCATGCTGAGGCCAGTGTCTGTGCCCATCTGCAGGCTGGGGAGCCAGGCTGGATCAGGGGCTGGCTGCAGCTCCACAGTGAGCTGGGGCAGGGTGTCACTGAAACCAAGGGCAGAGCAACCAGCGGTGAAGGGTTTGGAACTAAGCCATCATGGAAACGGTTCGTTTTTAAAGTTTGGATAGATGCAGCTCTGTGAAGTGCTCCAAAAATACCCCAATCCATTCCAAGTCCTGTAGAGTTCCTTTTTGTGTGGCAGGAGTGGTAAGTGCCATTAAAAAAAAGAAAGGACAAGCACGCACTCCATACCTTGACATTCCTGAGATGCCAGAGTTTAAGCAAACAAAAAAGCAGAGGCCGAAGGGCCCCTGGGCTGCCCTGCACGGAGCTGTCCCGGGAGATGCTGTTGTAGCTGTAGGGAAGTGATGAGCTGGGAGCAGTGGCCAGCAGCAAGCCCTGTGTAACCCCCACTGGCCCCTGTCCACGCAGGCCGAGGGCGAGGTGGCAGCTCTGAACAGACGCATCCAGCTCGTGGAAGAGGAGCTGGATCGTGCCCAAGAACGACTGGCCACAGCCCTGCAGAAACTGGAGGAGGCTGAGAAAGCAGCAGATGAGAGTGAGAGGTACGCTCCTTTTTTATGTTCTGGTGTTAAAGAAATGAATATATGTGAATAAAATATTCCTGTGTGATTTAGTATCTGCATGTGCTACTGCAAGTCAGAGACTTGAAACTTTCTTACAAGCTTGATTGGGTAATTGCATTAGCCTTGATGAACACAGTGGTCATAATGGGCCACTTTTAGGTTACAAATATCAAATTCACTTTGTGAAGTTGAGGTACAAGTCCCGTAATGCTTCTACATTAAACATGCTTTGACTTCTGCAGAGGAATGAAGGTTATTGAGAACAGAGCAATGAAAGATGAAGAGAAAATGGAAATTCAGGAAATGCAGTTGAAGGAGGCCAAGCACATTGCTGAAGAAGCCGACCGCAAGTATGAGGAGGTAAAAGGGAGAAGGAAATGGTGAAATGTACAGGAGAGCCATGAACAAAAACATTGCTCTTCAGTGTAGTCCCTCTGTTCAGTTGGCACTGGGTGATGCTTCAGCCTTGGAACACTGCCAACAAGGAGGAATTTGAATAGTGATTTGCAGCATCTTAGGTACCTAATGCTAAAAATACTGCAAAATCTGACTAATTGGGCTGTTCCATCTGGGGGTGTATGCTTCAACCTGATTTCCTTACTCCAGAGGAAGCAGGAGCAGAGTACTTCTGAGTGCCTTTTGAAATCTGTAAAGAAAGTGCCCCAGCCTGTGACAGGGGGTGGAAATAGATGATTTTTGAGGTCCCTCCCAACCCAAGCCTGCTGTGATTCTGTGGAGTGCACACTGGCCTGAGAGCTGGCTGTTGTCTTTTTACAGGTTGCCCGTAAACTGGTTATTTTGGAGGGTGAACTGGAAAGAGCTGAGGAGCGTGCAGAGGTGTCTGAAGTGTGAGTAACTTTTTAGAATACAGGAAAGATCGACACATCTCATTTTAAAAATCTCCTGGTAGGCAGGCATGTAGTTAGTACTTGTAGAAAAGTTTGTTTGTACACTATATACCTGGTTTTCTTCTTTCAGACTTAATTACTTCCTCCCTTGTGTTTTTTACGCTCCTCCAAATCATAACAGGAAGGCTGGTAATTCATACTTCTATTTTCCCCTTCTAGTAAGTGTAGTGACCTGGAAGAGGAGTTGAAGAACGTCACAAACAACCTGAAATCTTTGGAAGCTCAATCTGAAAAGGTTGGTTCTTTCAGTAAACTAAAGGATATGGGCAAAGCCAAAACTTGCAAATACAATTCATAGAAATAAACCAGAAATACAAAGCAAATGAGAGGTTTTACCTGCCTGCCTGTGGATACCACTCCATCAGTTCTGCCCAAACAATCCTGAAGGTCTGCAGGAGAGCAGAAGAGCACGGAAATGGTGTTTGCAGCTGTTGTAAAAGGAAGAGTGCTTATAAATAGGTCACAGTTTCATAAACATTTATTATTGTTGCTACAACTTCCCTTAAAGAGTGTTTATTGTTTTCACAGTACTCGGAAAAAGAAGATAAATATGAGGAAGAAATCAAGATTCTCTCTGACAAGCTGAAAGAAGTAAGTTTGGCTATCCCCACGCTGGATGCATCTTTGGGCATAATCTTTCTAGGAGCATCCAGTGATGCAATTTCAACTTTTTTAGGCTGAAACTCGTGCAGAATTTGCAGAGAGAACTGTTGCCAAACTGGAAAAGTCTATTGATGACCTGGAAGGTATGGAATGAGTCAAGTTTCTTTAAAAGTGGTCAGTTTCAAATCAGATAACAAATTCGAGGAGGGGTGGTGGATTTAATGGGAAAGAACAGCAGCATGTTGTGGATGGGTGTGATGTGTCCACTGGCCACCTGCCCTGTGTGGTAGAAGTTCTCCTGAAAAAGGTTTTGTTCCATAAAGTTGGTAACAATGACCTGATTTTGGCCAACTAACAGATGGAGGGGCTCAAGATCCCCACCCTACTTAATCTGCTTACTGGAAAATAATTGTGAGATTACAAAAAGACAAAAAGTTCACATGAAAAGCCGACCAGGCAGCTTTGTGGGTGTTGTGCTTTCCTTCTGATACTCAACTACACCTCTGTTTTCTTCTTTTGTTTTCCTCCCCAACTGCTTTGGCTGCTGTTGCCCTTTGCTGTCTCCGTTCTCCTCCTGTGGCCTCTTCTCTTCCTGCATTTCTTGCTGGCCTGTGCTGCTGCCCCGTGCCTGACAGATGAGCTCTATGCCCAGAAGCTGAAGTACAAAGCCATCAGTGAGGAGCTCGACCATGCCCTCAACGACATGACCTCTTTGTGACCTGCCCCTGTGTGGGGACACGGGGCTCCCACTCACTGTGCTTCTCAAGCTTTCCTTGCCTGTAATCCCTGTCACTCTGTGCCACTTCCACCTCTGTGGGAACTGAGCTCAATAAAACATGATACCTCTACCTTTCATCTTGCAGGGTTTACTTCTGCATAGATCAGCTCAAACACACCAGTGATGACACCAAAAACACGTTCAGCTCCTCATGTGGGGCTGGGCAAGACAGGGTCAGGATGGGGCAGGACCTGGCTCTGGCAAAAACCTGAATGTTAGTGTTCCCTTTAGTCAGCGAGAAGCTTTGAGAGCACTCAGTGTCTACTCGTGCTCCACCAGCCTGGTTAAAACCTCTCAGTCCAAGGAAAACCCAGCAGGATGTGACCTGTAAATGACACAGTGACACATTAAAACACAGGCTTTCCACATTCCATGAGCCGTGTCCAAAAACCTCCCTTAAAGACAGCAATTACAAAAAATTGGCCCCGTTTTGATGATACAGATGTAAAGGTGTCTGAAATACAAAGGTAAGCTACCCCAGGTTTTATTCAGAGAGAAAAGGCTATAAAAGAATGTGATTTAAATCTTGTGGTTTTCTTCCTCACCAGAAAAACTCGCTCAAGCCAAAGAGGAGAACCTGGGCTTGCACCAGACACTGGACCAGACGCTGAATGAGCTGAACTGTATATGAGGGGCGCAGCCAGCTGCAGCAGCCCTGCCCTCGCTCCTTTCTCTCTCTGCATCCCGGAAAAGCCAATTAAGTTATAGCGGCACAGGCACAGCGCCTGAGGGGAGCCCTGAGCAGCCCCCGCCGCGCCGCTCTCGCGGTTCCTTATCCTTTGGTATAAACCCGGTGGCAGCTGCACCCGAGCAGCTCTGCCGTCCCCCATTAAAGGATTTCTCACAGAACCGAGGCCTCTGCGGGTTTTTGTTCTGCTCGGGGGGCGTGACGTCACGGTGCGGGCAGGTACGGGAGTGACGTCACTGCCACCGCCCGGCCTCGCCCCTCCGTACCGGAAATGACGGAACACCGGCGGTGGGGCCGATAGCCAATCGCAGCGCCGCTTGCCTCCGTGTCGACGCCGCCCGCCAATGGCGTGCCGGCTCCGTGCGCTCTCCGCCGGGCTGGGCCAATGAGCGTGCGGTGGGCGGGGCCGCTGCCCACCAACATGGCGAAGACCTACGACTACCTGTTCAAGCTGCTGCTGATCGGCGACTCGGGCGTGGGCAAGACCTGCGCGCTGTTCCGCTTCTCCGAGGACGCCTTCAACGCCACCTTCATCTCCACCATCGGTGAGCGCCGCCGGGCCGGGTGTGCGCACGGGGCCCGGAGCGGCCGCTCCGCCCGGCCCGCAGCCCCGGGAGCGAGCCCTGGGGACGGGACACCGGGCCGCGGAATTGAGGGCAAAGCCGCCGGACTGAGAGTAAAGCCATTGGTTCTCCTTTCAGGAATCGACTTCAAGATCAGAACGATAGAACTCGACGGCAAGAGAATCAAGCTGCAGATCTGGTGAGGCTCCCGTGCCGCAGTGCGCGGCTGATCGCCGGGGCTGTGCCTGCGGATCGGCCGGTTCTCTGCGCTTTGCTGCTCGCTGGTGTACGGTGTTTGAGAAACCAGGAGGCAGTTTCTAGCGCTCTGAAGGCTGGGTCGCGTTTGTGTAAGGCTTGCGGCGGTGAGCCCCGTGTTGTGTTGTTGCAGGGACACGGCCGGGCAGGAGCGGTTCCGGACCATCACCACCGCCTACTACCGGGGAGCCATGGTAGGGGCCTGACAAACGCGGCTGCTCTGAGTGGAACACGCTCAGCGTGGGGCTCTGCCGGGCTGCACACTCGGCTCTGCTCCTGCTCCGTGCTGCTGGAGCTCTGCTGGGATGGTGGATTTTCTTGACCTAGACATGGGGTAACTGAGAGGCGTTTTAAAAACTTCTATTCCATTTCCAGTCTCATGAGAAGGGTGAGACAATACAGATGCTATAGATCACGCCATCACAATCAGAAGCCAACTATTTCCCAATTACAATACACTCTAAGTGTTTCTTGGCTTATCAATTTTTTTTGCCACACCATGCTGTAGATACCTTAAAAGCAATCATCTAAAACTACCCCTCATAGGTCCCACTACAATGCATCTTTCACAGTTCTATTTCTCCAAAGTATCTAGTCTTATTTACAAGACCATCTTTTGAAACTTTCTCTTGCTCCATTTCTGTCTCAATATCTGTTCTGTTCTATAGTATTTCTAAGTCAGCATTTCTTGTCTCAGAGTTTACATACAGTTGCACACTGTGTGGGCCTTCTGTCAGGCCCTGAGAACTCTACAAATCCATTTCCCACATTGGGACAATCTGGGACTTTGCCAAGGCAGGTTCACTCTGTGATACGTGTCCTGCACGCCTTATCTCACTGCCATTAGCTGGGAACCAGTTGTTAAAAACAGCCACTGTTGAGCTGCTCCTCTCTGCTGTGGATAAACCTTTAACTCCTGCTGAAACAGTCTTTCTTTATCTTTAGGGCATTATGCTAGTGTATGACATCACCAATGAAAAGTCTTTTGAAAATATTCGGAACTGGGTGAGGAATATCGAGGAGGTAATTTCTCTCTTTACTCATTACTGACTGTTAAAGGTGTCATTTCTTCCTCTGAAAGTAATTGAAGCTGAATTGCTTCAGGGGTGTTACATTTTGCCATGTGGTGCAGGGTACTTGGAAGGTAAGTGGATGGAAATCAGTAACAGCTTCTGGAATGCCTTGGCTGATGGTGATTTGTGGTGAGGGCTGTAGCCCCTGTGCTTCTGAGGGCACCTAATGTGACAATTCCCTGGCACAATATTGATCCAAGAAGTGCCATGGTGCAGGTTACGTGCTGGGAAGGAGGGCTGGGGGAGCCTGGAAATCTGTGGAAGATTCTCAGGACTGGCATCGCTGTGCTGGGCACTCAGCGGGTGCCTCACCTGTCTGACAATGTTTATCTACCAAAGCCAAGCCCAAGCTTCTGTCTGTGTTTGTCTCAGCACGCCTCTCCAGATGTTGAAAAAATGATCCTGGGGAACAAATGTGATGCAAATGACAAAAGACAAGTCTCCAGAGAGCAAGGGGAGAAGGTAAGTGCCGTGGCTTTGGTGGATTTAGGCTTTTCTGCTGATTGTGTGCACGTGGTACCCCAGTGGTGTTCCTGAGTGGGTGACTGAACATTCCCCAGGCTGCCATGGCAATGCTTTTCCCCCCGGGATCAACAGCAGAACCTGTGTAAGGATTCTTGTCAATTATCTAACAGATGCAAGGCAACGAGCGGGACTGCTCTAAAAGGATGCTAGAGTTGGACATGGAGAAAATGTCTGTTTTGGCTGAAAGCCACTGAGACAAGGTAGATGGGGTTGTCTTTCCTGATCTCAGATGTTACTGAGTCGAGGCAGAGTTTTTTTCTGTGCTGTGGTTGTTATGACACTGACAAGGCATCTATGCAAGAAACAAATAAAAAAGAGCAAGTTAAAGTGTGGGCAGAGTGTAAAAGCAGAGCAGAGCCAGTGAGAACAGATGCCAGTTGCAGTGGGATTTAGTTCCTAATTTTTACAAATTGTCCTGCACGAGTAAATCCCCAGCTCCACTGACTGGTGGCAGCAGGGACAGATGCTTTGCCCACGGCTGTGTTTGGAGCTGTTCCTGCAATTGTTCAACTCATGTGCACTCTGCTTTTGTTCAGCTCGCTGCAAGCTTCGGGATTAAATTCATGGAGACCAGTGCAAAAGCAAATATAAACATAGAGAATGTAAGTACTGATGCCTTTCTCTTGTATCTCTTGTCCTCTTGTGCAAACCAGCAGTGTGGGCCCATGCTGGTGGGATGCAGAACTGCACTGCTGGGTGCCACAGATGGGCTGTTCAGCACTGCCCTGCAGCACAGACCCTGGCTGGGGGTGGCAGTGTGGCTTTGGGGCTCAGAAAGAAGGAGCATTAAAACCTGGAGCAGAGGGGAAAATACTGAAAACCTAACGTTCTTGTATAGCATGTCAAAACTTGGGAAGGCAGCTTATTGCTGTACAAAACATTTTATACCCTGTAACACTGAACTGTTTGACTTGCCACAGGCATTTTTCACTCTTGCAAGAGATATCAAAGCAAAAATGGACAAGAAGTTGGTGAGTAACTTTGATTTCCTCCATGCTGGATTTAAATAGAAAAAAAAAACAACCAAAAGCCTATTGCAAGAACTGTTTCACAGTGTATAAAAAATGTGTCACAGTCTCTTTTAGGAAGGATCCCTGAAAGTTCTAGAAATGTATTTTTAGTTTGTCCAGGCTGTGCTCTGATGTTTGCCGTCTCTGCATTTCAGGAATTAGCTGCAATGGTTGAGGTTTTCTAAATAAAATGATCTGTTATTTGTTTTATCAAAAGTCAGTTGGGTGGTAGAGCAGTTTAATGGTACCTCTCACTCTTGCAGTCTGAAAATCATGTGACCAGATATGAACTGATGCAGTGGGATATTTTGGGTCTTGCTGATGATTCCTACGCCTTCCAGCAAGAGCCATACATGCTATTTATTGGTTTTTATTCTCAGCTGTCTTTGAGTGGTGGAAGCTGAGGCATAGGCACAGTGTGATCTGGTTGGAGCCAAAAGCTGCAGATGCAGTTCTGCAGTTTTTGTCACGGCTGGTGTAAGACTGAGATAAATGAGTGAAGCCTCTTACTGATTGTGGCAAAGTTCTTGTGTATGTCAGGCTTGGTTAAGAGTCACCAGATGAAGTATGGATGGAATAATCTGTGAAGTATAAATAAGTAACTGGATATTCTTTCCATCTTCAGGAAGGCAATAGCCCTCAAGGCAGCAACCAGGGAGTCAAAATCACACAAGACCAGCAAAAGAAAAGCAGCTTTTTCCGATGTGTTCTTCTGTGAGGGACACGGCCTTAATCTGAGCTGGACTGTGCCTGTGCTAAGTGAGGTTTCCTCTTTCTGTGGACTTAGTGCTCCCAACATACCTTGTCACTCTGTGACCATCTGAATAAGAAATGGCTTATTTTGGTAATTGTCTGACTCTTCAGTTTTGGAGATGAAACAAGTTTATTTTTGTCAGATTGCCACTGGGCATGTGTATTGTCTAGCAGAGGAAGAACAGGTCACATGTGACCTGGGACGCAGCACCATTGCTTCGGTCTTCATTCGTATCTGTCACGTATCCACTTTAGAAAGATGATGTTGTGATCAAAATAAGAAACTTAAATGCCACTGTTAGTGAAGTACAGGTATGCATAGATGGTACATGTGCATATCCAGTGTGTAGCTGCACACTGAATAGTGGCATGAGACCATCCTAGAAATGCACCAAGGTGAGCAGTGCAGGCTGATGCCTTCCCAGGAGGTACAAAGGAGCTTTCTGCAGCTCCACCTTTTAAATACTACAGAGAAGCTCCTTCATCTGCCTGTCTCATACTCAGCTGTGTTACTCTAGACAATCCACAAGTACAATTGATGTTTTAAAAAAAATCTCCTCAAAGGAATCTATTTTTTTAAAGAAAGAATGTGTGCTGTACATAGAATGGGTCCTTACCATTGGTAATTCATCCACGTTAGACTTGACTGTGGTTAATTAAGTACTCCAGACACTCAGACGTGCTTAACAGGAGCTGATGGCTACACGAAGTCCTGTACAGATGATCTGTCATTTGTTCTTGGAGAACCAGGGTCAGGCAGGGACACTTACCCAAAACCTGTCACCTTACAATGGGTGGCTTTACCACTCTCCAGCTGGGAGTGACTCCAGACCCATCATGACAGAGTAGGTAGTTTTAAATCATGACAAGGAAAAGTACTGCACTGCTCCCAGTCGTGTGTTCCCAAGCACACTTGCTCACATATGCAGATAAATGTTGCACATCAGAACACGCTGTGAGAAGAGACTCCTGGGCTGGGGTTGGCCTTGCTGGTGTGGATCACTGCAGCATCAGCCTGCTCACAGCTTGTGCCTGGCACGCCTCCCCCAGCAGGCTCTTACTCATTCCCACAGCCCCAGGGCCAAGCACAGCTCCTCGGTGGGCGCTGTCACAGGGCAGGCTGCAGGCCTGACTGGGTTACACTGACAGGAGGAGTGGCAGCTGCGAGGCTGCTGCGCGGGGACTGCAGCGATGCTGTACCTCACCCAGTGAACGCACCAGCTGTGCCCTGCAGCTGGCTGCAGCTGAAACATGCTTTGTTTACACTGACAGCTGCAATTAAGGGCAAAATCAAAGTTGATTTTGAAGTTGTGGAATTTACTCACCAGTTTTGTTTTCTTCAAGTTTGTGGTATCGAACTCTGGGCCTCAGAGTAGCACTAGTAAGTGTTGCTGTGGTTAAACATCTGTTGGATTCACAGTTAAACTGTATAAATCTGCAGCATGCAATTGGGCCCAACAAGAATATTGCCTGTTCCAGAATGGAAAAAGATTTCACTCTGTAAGTTGCTGGTTTATAGAAATGCATTTTAGATGCATTTAGATTATCTCTGTCCTGATTAAAGCTTTCCTCTAACCAGAACCTTATGATGGTTTGGTTCTTTGTTTACTTTTGGCTTTTTAGCATGAGGACTTGATGAACATGCTCTGTAGTGGATTTATACATAGATGTAATTGTAGGATAAAACCATGTTCAGTTACTGAGGAGGCTTCTAGACAGAGTGTAGTTAACACAGGCCTGTAGACTGGACAAGCAGCACCTCTGTCTTGAGCTAAGGATGTTTTTAAAGAGTTTGTGTGTGCTTCAAGAAATGACTGAGGCACAGCTGGGGCGGTGATAAGACAGGCTGAATTTCCTACATAACTCTGTAACAATTTGCTTCTGGCTTGGTAATAACTGTGGATTGTCTTGCATCTATATTGTGCGTCATACAGCCAGATGCTGAGCCAGATTTATTTTTCAGAGAGACTGGAAAAATTGGTGTTTATCTGACTTGATACCATGGGTCTGCCATGATGCTGGTTCTTGCCTGTGGACTTTATCAATAACTCATCCCAAGATGAGAAAGCAAACTATATTCATTTACAAGTGGGTAAAACGTGAAGGATGGTATTGTGATTTTTCACTCATTTTCTAAATCTGAAGTTACTCTTGCATTCAGAATTCTTTGTATGTGAATACCTTCTGTTTAAACTTACGCTGGTTGTTGCATGTGTTCATGTACCTAATTATAACATTACTTCCTTTGAAATGGTTGGGTTTACGAGCAACAACGTTATTGCTTGATCTCAGGAAGTCTCATGCAGTTGCTGTGACTGCAGTCATCACTGTACTTCTGGGTATGAAGGCTCTACACAGATACTAAATCTGTGTAAGCAACATGGAACCTAAAATGCAAGTGTAAGAGAGGAAAAGGTTAAAGACACTGCACTGCACGTGGGCTTAGCTGTGTGTCACTAAACACAGGCATCAAATCTAGAGAAGTACAGTATGTTTCCATCACATCATTCAATTACTGTGTTTATTAAGTATGAATGTAATGGAAAATGCAATTGTCAGAGAGGTACTCTGTAAATACTTACATAATCTACTTGTGTCTAAGCTTTCTTGAACTAAGGAGGAAAAAATCAGAAATTTGGTACAAAACCTATAAAACTGAGGAATTGAAGTAGGTCTGCAAAACTAACTGTGCTTACTACACGTTCTCAGTGTCTAAGTACCACTAAAATGTCAAGTAATTGATTAACATTTGTTTTGTAGAGAAACAAACCCATTTTTGAGCATGTCCTCAAATTCCCTTATTTCAGTGAGTATCATGGAATTCTGTGGTTGACCTTATTTTTGAGGCTGGTTGCAGTACATTGCATCGTTGTCACTCCTTGAGGTGGAGACCTGTCAGTCTCTCAGTAATGGTGGAGCTGCTGTTCTAACACTTATTAACACCTGTGTTATCTTTGTCCTGTGCTGACAGGCACAGCTCATGTTTCCTGACATCAGAACCTTATGCCAGCATCAGACTTCCAGCCTCAGATTTATAAATCCTATGGATTATTGTAAGTCTCTTTACTGCTGCTGAAAATTACTAGGTCTCTTCTTTCCTGTGAGATGCCGATCATCTCCCTGATGATTGCTAAGGGTTATTGTGGTGGTGTGTTTGGCTGATGATCGTGCTCAAAACTGCCATGATTTCTGGTTCTCTTGGACTTGCAGAGGAATGCACAAACAGCTGTGTGAGGATGGGCTCCTTTGTACTTGTAGAAGCTGTAGGGCTTGGGGAAGAATGATGACTAACTTGTGTCTTCATTTCCAGCTTAACTAAAAATCTGTTCAAAGGAATGTGAATGGTAACTGCAGTCTGAGTGTTCCAGGCTGCCTTATTCCCTGACCCATCCTTCACTGATGCAAAGTTTCTGTGGTTAATAAAGGTGACTGGCTGGCTGGTCTCTCCAGCCTTTCTGCAGGAATCATCTGCTCTACACCGAGTGCGAGTTGGGACTTGCGGCTTTGTTTTGAAGGGAATTTAATGCATCCCAAAATTTGTAAAAATAACTGTAAATTGTATTTTTCAAATGATCACTTTTGGCTGCCACCCTTCCCACATTACAACTGCTTTCTTAAACACTTCTCATTGATTTTCATGTTTGTATTAACACAAAACTGTTGTTTGTTACAGTATGTCTGTTTTTACTCTCTTGTACAGGACCCTAAGCACTGCATAAATAAACTTCTTACGAAAAGAGAATTTTACAAACTTAAGTTTTCAGTCCTATTCATCATTTGTGTGTAGGGACCCTGGTGGGTGTGGAAGATAGGGGATTTCTGAAAATGGAGAAGAGGGACAGGACCTGGGGTAGACTCTTTTGTCTCTAAACTATGCTGACTTTAATTGTAAATCCTGCACTGGGGGAGAATAATTCAGTAATTGATTAATTGGACCATTTATTAAAACCATAAACAATCAGAGGATTATTTATTATTACTTATGTTTTTGAAACTAAAGGGATTTTTTTACTGATTTGGGGTGAATTTTTAGAGGTTATAGTTTGATACAAGTTTCTTTACTTCCCTTCTGACTGTCCAGGCCAGGTTTGCTCTGCCTGAGGGAGTAGACATTTTGCTAAATTACAGGGAAATCCTGATGAAGAGCTTAATTGTTCCTTTTAAAGAGATAAACAAAAGACAGTTCTCTGAATGGTTCAGTTACCAGAAGTTGTCCTCTTTGCCCCTGTCATCTTGTGCTCTCATGGCTGGTAATCTCAGGTGAAGTAACAGTTGTTGAAAGCCAGAAGCACTGCTGTCCCCGTGGCTGATTCAGATTCGAATATGAAAGGTGCTGTTAAAAAAAGGAAGCCATAATCATGCATCACTGTTCAAAGGATTTACTACAGTTAATTGTAGGACTCTGATAAATTAGAAACTTCATTTTTCAAAGCATTTGCATAGATGGGGTACACTAAATAAATTTTGCAAGATTTGAATGCTGTTTTGAGTGGATAAGATGCACATCAGAAACTACATTAACACTATGTTAAGCATTGAGTGAGCAAATCTCATACATTTATCAATGCAGCCTAAGTGCTAATACTAACTTTTTAAGTTACAAGGACCTTCTATCATGTACAAAGTACTTTGGAAGTTCAAAAGCAAGTCAAGAAGCCTCCAGGCTTTTTTAAGCATCTATTTTTGTGTTTGCAGTGGGCAGCTCTATTCAAACCTGCCACAGAAGAGCGGTGATCTCCAAACGCTGAGGAGATGTAAACACACACTTCAGAGGCTTCTGACAAGGAAACTAACAGAGTTTTGTGCTAGAAATTAAAAGCAAATATTACCTGAGGAAATCTGGAGCTCGTACGATCATATGCTGGAAGTCTGCCAGGGACAGCTTGCCATCGTTGTCCACATCAGCCTCGTAAATCACCTTTTCACACACCAGGCTGACTTCTTCCGGCGTCAGTTCATTTCGGGTTAATTTGTTAACAGTTTTCTCTAGATCTGATTTGCATATGTAATCATCATTGTTGAAGTCTGACAAAGGAGACAAAGTTAGTTTAAAGTGATTAAAGTCAGCATCTTACATGGTAGTTTGCCAAGACTTGATAGAAGAGTTTGTGATGGAATTTTATCAGTAGAACTCTCAAATCAGAAATGAAGTTACCTCTATCTATTTGTAAAAGAAATGAGTTACAAAATAAAAATCTCTTAATTTCTCCTCTTCATACATAAGGGTAACAACTGTAAGTAGTTCAATGGCTAAACATAGCCTAGCCATCATTAAATCACTCCAGCAAGACTGTTGGTTTGATTTTCTTTAGCTGATCATAAAGAAAGTAACTGTAAATGGTACATTTAAAAAAATTTTTACATTTGTCCTTGGAGAAAAAAAGCCTGCAATGTGCTTCCCTGCCTCCCACTCCCAAATCCACCCTACAGATTCATGGGGAGCCAAATCCCCTGTGCTGTACTTTTCCAAGCAGCCCCTCAGACAGAAATATTTTTAAATGTTTATCAGCTCTTGAAAACTGCAGATAATTTCAAGTTGTAAATTTGGTAGTAAATCTTAACACCAGATAAATTAGAGACAAAAGGATAAAGAAAACCAGAAGTTTTTAGAGGAGGGAGATCAAACATTCAAGTGCAGTTAAATGGTAACTAGAATTCATTATGCTGGCAAAGTGAGGATTTTGCAGCCCTACATGAAGCTGCAGGATTTCCCCACTTATTTTTATGCATGTCTCACTCACCATAAATTTTAAAAGCATAATAAGCTTTCAAGTCTCGGGGAGCCATTTCACTTAGCACAGAAAACATGTCCAAAAAATCATCCAAAGTCATGTTGCCGTCGCCGTGCTCCGAGAACACCTCTGCTATCCGCTGGCGGAACGGGTTGTCCTGGGAAACAGCACAGGAGCAAGGGAAGGTCATCCTTGCTAGCACTGATATCAGTGCAGCTAAGGCAAGTGGAGTGAGATTATTTTTGTTGAAACACCTTTTTGGCAATTTCTTCCCTTTCTGCCTTTAAGTTCTTGTCTAATGCTGTGTCAGAAGCAGCCACAGCCACACCCTGTTTAACCTTTGTGCTGGTTCAGCGTGTTTTCTGGGAATTACTAGAAGCTTCCAGAAAGACTTTTTACTTGTCTTTTTAAATTTATTTCTCTGGCAGCCACCCAGCAATTAGTCGTGGATGAATTATTCAGAAAGGGGAGATGAAATGTGCCACTGGAGTCGTGTGCTCGGTACCTTGAGCTCTGGCATGCTGCCGATGAGCTCGTAGGGGAGTGTCACGGCCGGTTTGTGCGCGTAGTCAAGGGGAACGAGCTGCGGGGCCAGATCCCGGTACCTGTGAAACAGCCTGAGACACAGAGAAAGGCTTGTTGGCTCTTGAGACTTCTGAGAACAAGGTGGTTTGCTTTTCCACCTCATTTTTCACGCTTTGCATCCATTAACAGACAGAGATCAGTCACTAAGAAACAGTTAGAATGTTTTTGTTGGAACAACTGTTGTTAAAACAAGCAACATAGTGTAATGGTGAACAATACAAAGCTTCATTATAAACTCTGGTGAAAATGCTTACACAGGACATG